TTGGGATAGAAGGATCTCTGAGCTGACCTCAAGCTAAGGAGAGCCGTGAACCGACTGAGTGCCCATCACAGCTGAGCGGTCAGCCCTCCGCCCTGTGCTCCAACCCTTCAGTCCACCCCGGTCAGAGAATTTACCTAACTGTTTGGCAACTATTTACTTCTCGAGCTTTCCACACAGAATGTGAGGTCTTTTGGTGTCTGTGGGTGCTCATAAAGGTCTGGCACAGGAAAGGTACTCAGAAACTGCTAGATGGACGGATGGATGGATGAGGTACAGAAGAAAAACATCTGGTACAGTGGTTTATTCCCCTTGGAAACAACAATCTTGCTCCAGCAAGAGGTTTCACGAGACACTCCCAGGAGCTGTGGGTATGTCTCGTGGGCACACCAGACCCCACTGCTCCAGGATTCTAAACATGTTGAACAAAACCTCAATGACTAACAACCACAGGCTGCAGAACATGGCGGTCAGAGGACAGCCGCTGCCCCGTTTCCTTGGTTCCTGACAAACCCTCCGACACGTAAACAGTTCTCTCGGGTACCACAGGAAGAGTCCATAGGTAAACAGCTCAGCCAAGAGCGAGCCAAGGCCTTCCCTACACCACACGGGCCCCTCGTGACCCATCGAGCCAGCGATGAGAAGATGAGCAAGACTCAGATGGGAACAGGAAGGAGAGTAGCCTGGGAGTGCCACAGACGCATTCCCTCATCGAATATTCACTGCACCCTGAACTAAGTGGCAGACGCTATTTGGGCAAGAGAGATACAGGAGTGAATCTGGAGATAAAACCTCTCCTCCACGAGGCTTACAATTATCTGGTGGAGAGAAAGAAGTGAATATACAGTATGTCCGACAGGGAGAAACTGGGGGAAAAAAATGAGGCTGCAAAAGGAGTTAGGGAGTATTGGAGGAGGGGGGCTGTCATTTAAACAGGGTACCCGGGGAAGGCTTTTTGACAAAGCGACCTGCAGAAGGTGAGGGGCAAGGCACAGATTCCTGGGAGAGCGGCACGGCAGTGGGGAAAGGCCGCGACACTGGACTGGAGCGCAAAAGGAGGAGCTGGGGCTGAGGAGCCCAGAGGTCTTCTTGGTTTTCAATGCACCTGACTAACCCTGCTGGGAGCCCTCCCGGGTTTCTGCCACCCTGCACTGCAGGTTAGCCCGGGTGCCACGATTCTGAGCTTCCATAATGACCTACACATCCCCATGCCCCTCCTGCACAATGCACCAGACTGTTCTCACTGCCCACTTGCTCCTCTGAACTGAATTCCCCCAGGGCTGTGAGCAAGCCCTCAGCAAGGTCTCCAGTCCCAGCCCTAGCACGGTGCTCGGGGCATACAGTCACTCAGGACCTAGTCGCCGAATGTTGAATATTGAGTGAATGTTGAGTTCCTCGAGGGTGAGGCCTGGGTCTCATTCATCTCAGTAACCCCAGAAGGTGGCAGAATACCTGGCACAACAGAGGAGACACAGGTATGCTCTATGATTTGGGGCCTGCCCTGGTGTTAGCATTTTATCTGGACAGCCAAGTCATCCTCAATCCTTGCCCGTGGCGGTGCAGGGCCAATCCAGATGTGGTCCCTGGGGTTTAGGCCAGGGCTCAGGAGTAGGAAGCACCATTTATGCTTATGTATGCTATGGGATTTTTCTCATTAGAATTTGCATTAATCTCTTAACAAGGCTTAACCGCATCCTTAGGCTTCTGTGCCCGGAAGCAGTTTGGTATATTGGGGCATGGTTTTTCTAAGCCGATCATTTTACAAATCAAAACCTAATATGGAGTACCCTTCAAGCCACAGGAGGCTCTAGATGGCAGCTGGTACTGGAGTGGGGATGGCGGCTCTAGGGTCCTGGAGCGGGGATGGCTGGTGCTTCCGATCAGCTGCTCTCTTTGAACTCCACGGTAAAGTGGCATCAGTTTGTCCCTAAGGGCTTCCCACTTCCCTTTCAGCGCTTCGGGTCATTCAAACTTCTTTCAGACAGAAGCGCGGAGATTGAGGGAGGAACAGACACTATCTAACCACACTCTTTCATTTGACATATGAGGAAAGTGTGATCTAGAGAAGAAAGTGGCAATAACTCTGCAAAACAGACAAGATTGTCTCCACTTTATAGATGAGCACACTGAGGCTTGAAAGCTAAGTAAGCCACTCACAGCTCCATAGATAGTAATTGGCATGGCCAGAATCATCCAGGTCTGTCTGACTCTCAAGCCCAAAGCATCAAAGCTACAGCCAGCCAGTTCAAATGCTGTTCTCCCCAGAGCCCCAGGGAAGCTGTGGCTCACAGGCTGCATTAACAAAAACACACGGTGCACGGGGGAGGCCAGAGTCTCGCCTGCCCAACTCCGGCTCGTCCTGAAGCTTGCCACGAGAGTGTGGGCATGGGTCCAAGGGCTTCTCTGACTAACTGCAGGACTTCCTGCCCACTCTGACGGGCAGCAATGCATTCTTCAAACTTGCTTTAGAAAGCTTTGCCAAGTGGACATTCACAGGGCTGAGATTTCTGTGTAATATCACATAAAAATGAGCCCTGGGGCTGGCCTGGTGGTGTAGTGGTTAAGTTCACATGCTCCACTTCAGTGGCCAGGGGTTCGTGGGTTTGGATCCCAGGCACAGACCTACACACCGCTCATGAAGCCACGCTGTGGTGGCATCCCACATACAAAATAGAGGAAGATTGGCAACAGATGTTAGCTCAGTGCCATTCTTCCTTGCCAAAAGAAAGAGCCCTGGAAAAAGCATGGTCCTCCCTTCTTTTCGGTCCTTTGCTTCGGAGAACTATAAGCAGAGCCTGTGTTTCTATGTTGTATATATGGGTGTCTGTGAGTGTGAATGGTGAAGGTGTGCGTGTGTGCAAGGTTCCTAAGAGAGTGGCGTGTGTGTGCACGGATGAGTGTGTGTAATAAGATGCTTAGGAGATGAAGGATCAAGGAGCCTCTTCGCTTTTTCCTTCTCTCCTCCTTTCCTCTCTCCCTTCTTTTCCTTCCTTCCAGGAATATAAAGGCACTATCATTTTTCCTTTGCTCAGAGACACAAATAAATATTCCATCACATCCACTCCTCCCCCATCGCCCCCAGAGACCTCCTGCCTAAGGAGAGCTGGTAAGGAGCTGATGGGGGCGGGCGAGGGGGTGTCTCCCCCATTAAAGCAGATCTGAGGGAAGGCAGGTCACCTTCAGGTGAAACTGCACGTACGGTCAGGAGCTTCCACTCTTTCAGTCGATCCCGAAGAGGCTTGTGTGTTGTTGTTTTCGTCATGCAGTACAAGAGAAGAACACACACCAAGGCTGGAGTCATAAGGACCCACCTTCAAACACCGCTTCTGCCTCTGACTGAACGTAGAATTTTCATTACTTAACTTCTTCGCTCAGGTTTGCTTGCTTTAAAGTGAAAACAGGGCAATCACAACGCATCTCAGCGGGTTATTGAGAGAATTGAATGTTATATGTGAGCTCAACCCAGGGTGGACACAGGAGGCCCCGGCAACCGGCTGCACCTCTGCCTCCCAGGCAGCTGGAGAGCAGAGCACACAGTGTCGGTTTCAAAATTATCTAGTATTTTCCTCTTGGAAGAAAATGAAGGACTATGAAAAGAATGAACATGTACTCACTCCTCTGAGCACCTTTACAAAATACTGAAATTACATTTGTAAAATTGCTTCCAGCCCTGGGCAAAATATAAAACTGGAACAGGAAACTAAATATCTTTGCTAAACTATCCTTTCCAGGAGAAGGCAAAAACAAATACAACAAAGAAGTCAAGAATGGAGGGATGTGCTATTCGTGAATAAATAAAATCCACATTCAATGTTTTTATAGGTCGGGGCCCACCTTTTAGCTCTACATCCTAGGTAACCAGAAGCCCAGAGGCCTCCACACTTGGAAAGGTTTGGGGGGAAAAAACAAAACAAAACAAAACAACCTCTCCACTGTTTTCTCTAATTCCTAATTATGTTTTTTTTTTTAAATAAGTCAAAATCAAAATGTTCTTTTTCCAAACAGCTTATGCTCCTCTGAGCTCCGTCTGACCTCTCAGTGCCTTCTGGCTCTAAACTCCATCAAAGCAGCCGAAAGCAGGAAGTGCTCTGGCACAGGGACCTCATTCAGGGAGAGGAAAGGCAGGGAGACCACATTTAACTGACAAAGGGAAACAGACCAGCCGCTGTCTGTGCGGTGTGGCAGCTGGAGGGGAGCGGGCTCTTCACCTGCCCGGTCCCAGCCTCTGTAGGAAGTCAGAGCAGACACAGCATGGCAAGGCCAACGTGGCCATTCAGACCACGGCTCCTCCACTCAAAGGACCTCCAACTTGCTGCTTAGCCTCTCTGGGCCTTTGGTCCCGGGATCTGAGCAATGGGGGTAAGGATTTGGTACCTCACCATGTTTTCATGAGGTCACGTGTGCTCATGGATGCAAAAGTATTTTGTAAACCTCGAAATCACTCTAGTCAGATACTGATGATTTTTCAAGCCCTTCCATCAGTAGAGTATGGAGGAGGACTGGCATGGTGAACATTGCAAGGACTTTGATCAGAAGGCTTGGATTTGAGCAATAGTTCTGCTATCTATGTAAATTTTGGCAGTTCACTTGAATTCTCTGAGTCTTACTTAGTAATCCTTTCCCACAATAGAGATAATGTTACTTATAACACAAGGTTCTTATAAGGATCAATTGAGTTAATGGATTTTCAGAAAACAGTGCCTGTTATCACAACATGTTATACAAGTGGCTTTATCACTATATAATTTCAAAATGGGTACATAATCCTTATCAAGTAGCCATGGTAAATATTATTTGTATTTGAAAAATGGGAAAAGCTTGGAAAGTAAAACAACTTCTACTAATGCAGTGGGCAGGGCTCAGAACAGACGCTAATTTTTTTGGCTAAGCCCTTTGCAAGCATTTCACAGTGAAGTCTGTCCCTACCCATTCTGAGGGCTCTACATACAAGAGAGATTGGAGCTGGGGCTGGACTCCACCAGAATCAGAGGGAAGGTACTCACCACCAAATACAGCATCGTGTACATGGAGAAGGAGGCATGGCCAGAGAAGAAGGACTTCCTGCAAGAGCAAGAGAGGGTCATGAAAGGGCCATCTTCACATCCGTGACACACATTTGTCTGTCTGTCTGTCTTCCTCCCAAGACCTTGAGAGCAACACTGTCTTGTTGGTTTTTGCATCCTTGGTAGTGCTTTGGACACATTGCCTGGAACCTAGCAGGTACCCATGAATACATGAACAAACAAAAGAATGAATGAATGAACAGACTTACCGATGCTATATCATAATGGTTTGTTTACCCATGAGTCTCAATCATTTGACTGACTGAGAATTAGGACTCTGCCTTACTTACCCATCTACACCAGAGCCCAGCACTGAGCCTGGCTCTTAGCAGGTGCTCAGTAAGTGCTCACTAAACTGCCTGCATCAAAGGAGTGCACACCAGGGCCAGCCCCATGGCCAAGTGGTTAAGTCCACACACTCTGCTTCAGCAACCCAGGGTTTTGCCAGTTCGGATCCTGGGCGTGGACCTAGCACTGCTCATCAGGCCATGCTGAGGCAATGTCCCACATAGAACAACTAGAAGGACCCACAACTAGAATACACAACTATGTACTGGGGGTCTTTGGGGAGAAGAAAAACAAAGATTGGCAACAGATGCTAGCTCAGGTGCCAATCTTAAAAAAACAAAAAGAAAGAAAAAGAAGTGCACACTGTGGCCGTGGGAGGTGGCATCTCACCTGGCTTCCTGGACCTTGCTGTCGTCACCTCTGCATTTGTAGTTTTGGATGTAGCCCTCGGAGCAGTTGATCTGGCTGAAATCAGGGTTGCAGACGCTCAAGAAGTGAGGACGCAGGCGCCCTATGGAGACTTTGGCAATGTCTGTGAAGGACTGGCTGATGGCACAGCCAAAGAGGAAGCAACCCACTTGCTTATAGAGCGCTGCAACATAGGGATTCTGCACGGTCGACCGGGACTTCTCCTTCAGGTAATAGATCCGGTAGAATTCCCCTGTGATGATCTGAAAGGACACCGAGTGGGCAATCAGGCAGCATCAAGACCTGCCATCAAGACTCACTTATAAAGGACATTTAATGACACTGGGAATGCTCAGTATAAAACTACAGCTACAATCTAGAAAATCCCAATTTTTTATTTAAGAAGTATACAGACGCAAATTTGCATGGGAGGAAAGATCCAAGTGCTAACATGGCCATTTTATCCTTTTTTTAAAAAAAGTCCTACACAGTCATATAGGACCTTTGTACCAAGAAAAATATGCAATCAAATATACTTATACATAAATATATATATATTATATATATAATAAATAAAAACAGATATTTTTTTATGTCAAGATGTCAGAGGACCTGAGCCACGACAGGATTCTGGGATTTGGGGTAAAGGATCAGCAACAATGGTCTAACTCCACAAAGGGCATCCGCATGTGCCAACACCGAGCCGTGGTGGGGTTTTCTGTAGGAAAGGGTGAAGGCCTCAAGACCACATCCTGTGTTTGGATCCAGGCTCTCCCACCTACCTACCTGGTCTCCTGCAGCAGCAATGGAGCCTCTCCAAGCCCCGGGTTCCTTCTGCACAAAAGGAGGCTACTCACCTCCGCAGTTGTGGCCTTGAATGTGCTAACGTGGGTGCGAAATGACCCGGGTCACAGAAAGCAACTCTTTGTTGTACTTTTTAGAAGTATGGTATGATGAAAACAAGACAAGTCTAAAACTAAGGAAATTTTAATAGAATGTCCTTCAGTGTTTGCGAATTTCCTCATGTCTGCGTGTACCATCCTCTCAACCCTGAAGGACAGCGAGCAAGTCTTGATTTTCGTGCCCTTCCTCCATCCCACTGTGTCTCCTCCTTGACACTTAGGAGGCATTTATCACTACTAAAAAAAAGCCACCAACTATCGATCACCTATTGCATACCAGGTATTGCTTTTATACAGCCTATTTCATGGAATTCTCACAACAACCATGCCACAGATACGCTGAGGCTCAGAGAGGCAAAGCACCTCAATGGAAACTGCCTGGTTTTACATGAAGAGTGGAGAGCCCGCTGATTCTCTGTAACACAGATGCCTACAAAGCAGAGGGCCAATTCCGCTTTGGTGATACATAACCCCACGGCCTACTGCCCTTGTCTTAACTCCACAGCGCAGCCCTGGCCACTTCCTCATTGCGACCACAGTCCAGGGACAGTGATGCTCCATCATCATTTACCACAAAGTCCCTTTCGCACTTCCTCACGTGGCAGGACAATGAGCCACAACTGCCCTTTCAGGGAGCAGAGAGCACATTCCCAACCACAAGGGAAGCAATAGACTGACATATCCGGGCACTCCTTTCCCCCATGTCCCGTTATTCTTATGCAGCTGGGGAAGGCGTCCAGGCACGGGGTCTGATCCTGATCCTCGAGGGCGCCCAAGTCTGGGGGTAGGATGGCCATGCAGGAGGAAATGCCAGCTGGCACTGCTGACGTTAACTCGGTGATTCTGTGTCTATGAGCGCTTGATATTTCTAAGTACTACATTTTGGTTTCCCAGATCACACTGAGTGTGATTCCATATTGGAGAGAGATGGTCAAAGCCAGTTCAATCCAGCGTCCTGGCAAAGCCATTCCCTGGGAGGGCAGGACTAACACCTGGTCCCACGGAGGTGCCCAGAGACTATTGGCTGAATGAACGAATGAAGGAAAGGGGTCAGGACAGTAGTCCTCACAGTTGTTTTATTGCAAAATTGGAAATATCCTGTAAACATTACCTAGAGTCCTTTGATAACATGCTGCAGAGATTAAAATGTGAGAAGCACAGCAAGTCAGAAATGAAAGGGTCCATTATATACGGAAGAAACTGAGGTCAAATTAACTCACAGCTGAAGATTAGCTGCAGGTGTCTGACTCCTGCCCAGCATTCTTTCTTGCCCTTCATGGTCTAATCCCTTTTTGAACCTGTTTATTCTTTTACCCACGTAACCTCACAGGCTAACAAGTTCCAGATGTTATTACCACCACCAGGTTCTCTAACTCTTTCCTACTCCTCTTGATTTATAAATCATGCTTACGTGACTTTGGACGCGTGGGGAAGAACACTCAACTAGGAGTTGAGGGGCCAGGGTTCGAGTCCCTGCTCACTGAGTGAATTTGGGGTAAGCCAGTTTCTCCATTTGCAAAACGGGGGCGCTAGACTCCGTGATGTATTACTTCATAACTGCAATGCCATTTATTCTCAAGTCCTGTGCTAGCTGCACCACTAGCCTCCCGACCAAGCAAAGGTAATAAGAAGCAGCGGAGGAAAGGCCTTCCTCAGAGACGACACCACAGGCCAGGAGCGGAATAAGGCCCATGGACAATCCCCGCCCTTGGATTGTTCTTCAGGTCCCTGACCTGTGCCACTGCCACAGATTAAGAAACTGTTTCTAAATTGGGGCTAGAGTGTGATTTGCTGTTTGATACTGAAAAAGAACACAGGGGTTTCCATTGCAAATTAGCATCTCACATGAATTTACTGATTAATCTCAGGGGAGTCACCTCTCTGCTTCAGTGATCTTAGAAGGGGTTTCATTACATCTTGAGGACTCCTTTCAGCTCTAACATCCCTTCATTCTAAAACTTCAGTTTTTAGTGCCATAGTCTTGCAAACAGTAAACTGCTAATTAAAATGCTTCCTCCTCTCATGGAAAGACAAGGGGGTAAAGGGGACATTTTGTGGCACTTCAAATTCCTAACAACAATGGTAATAATAGCAGTAATCCTTCTCATTTCTTTTGCATTTTACAGTTTTACTTAATCTGCAACTCTGGGGAGAAGGCATACCCATTCTACAGATGGGGATCCTAAGACACTGAGAGAGAGTAACTTCTCTGAAGGATCTGAGGCTAGTAAGTGACAGAGTTAAGAGCAGAGACCAGATATTCTGACTCTCAAGTTCAAAGACCCGCAGCAGACTACATAGGGATAATTTGATTATTTCTATTGTTATTAAAAACAGTATCCACAGGAGAATAACAATTGCACACAGTCACGCGCTGCATAACGACATTTCGGTCAACGATGGGCCATGTATTCGACGGTGGTGCCATAAGATCAGTACCATAGAGCCTTGGTGTGTAGTAGGCTATACCATCTAGGTTTGTGTATGGACACTGTGTGATGTACAACAAATCACAGAACGATGCATTTCTCAGAACGGGTTCCTGCTGTGAAGTGACGCAGGACTGTATTGTCAAGGAAAGGGCCAGGCTGAAGCCATTTAGCAGACACATGACTCCAAGACCACGTGGTTTCTGGGGCAGCCCTGACAGATCTTGGAGTTAATGAGCAACAAATTATGTATTTTCTCTATCCCCTCGTACAGAAGGGGTCGGGGAGTCGACAACACGGCCATAAATCATCATTATGAACCAGCCGGACTTGGCTTCTTGTAATCCTAACCCTTAAAAGACCATTTAATGAAATTCGGGCTGTGAAAGGCAGCTGAATACCTCACCTCTGCGGAAGAAGCGAAGGCTTAAATTGTTCCCCGACACGTTACACACCTAACTCTGCAGTTCCAGATTTACTGCTTTCGGACTTTATTCATTACTCACAATGTTTTTATTCCTGGGCAATAAAATAAGGTCTTCCCTCCTCCTCCCCTCCACCCCCACAAAGGCCTGTCTCTACCCCAGACTCCTGCTGGCGGGGGCCCCTCATTTCTGCTTCAGTCAGCAAGGCTGTGATATGTAAATGTCACTGCTGAGAAAAATGCAGTCAACGTTGATCCCTTTCTGAACCAGCAAGCAGCGGATTCTGGAGGGGATGGCAGGCTGCCAGGCCAGCAGAGGAGAATTCTCCCCTACCTGCCTTTTAAAGCACTTGGCACAGAATCTGGAAACTAATAAAGCGGGAAAGCATTGCAATTAAGCTACGAGGGGACAGAAAGGGACCAGTCCTTGCCCGAGAACAGCTGGTTTGGAGGGAGGGTGTCTCCAACTCTAAGACAGCTCCTCCTCCTGTCTTTTCTGGTGTAAAAGAGCTCAGCTGCCCACATATTCACAAATATTGAACTGTTCCGGAGAGGAAATTTGGAGAAACATTAGGACAGACTTTTTGGAAAGGAGAGAGCACAGGGTGATGACAGAAGCACTGACTTTGGAGCCAGGAAAGCCTCAGTCTGAATCCCATCTCCTACCTTAAGCAAGTGACTTCACCTCCCTGGACGGAGGGCTCCTCGCCTCTAAAATAAAATCAATAACGTCTACCCGGCAGGATTGCCAGGGCATTCACGAAGGCGATATGTCAAATGCCTGGCACCCAGCAGAAGAGCCTTCCAAGAGTTAATATTTTCCTCCTTCCCTTGGAGTAGGGAAGCAAAAAATTAACAAATATTTGTAGACAATATATTTTCCAAAATAATTCCAAGAGCTCCTTGGAAAAAAAACACTCCACATTAAAGAGTTTGACAGTACCACCCCTCCAGGGTAGAACCAGAAACTATGTGGATGACTACGTTGGTTTTGACATGTAATAGGATGTCTTTTTCAGGGAAGCAAAGTGGAAGAGAAGTCTAAAGCCAAGGCCGCACGGGCAGCCCTACCGTATTGTTCACAGTATTCCACTCTATAAATTATGCCAAGAAAAGTAAGATCTTTTGCACACAGTCTCTTTTAGAGACTGAGAACTCATCTTCCCCTGTTGAGTTCGAGGGACAAACTTCCCTATATTCTGATCTGCTCGAATAATATTTGAGCAGCACTTTACAGCTTGCGAAGCATTTTCACATCCACGGTGTTATTCACTTCTCGTGACACCCAAAGCATGACTAAATTATTATCAGCACTTTATCCGTGAGCGTGGTGCAGGCCAGAGACCCGTGAATCGCCCTCAGTCAGAAACGCGGCAGGGGCAGGGCCGTCGCTGCAGGCCAGACCCCCTTTGTTCTAGTTTCTGTCCTCTGTCTGATGGTGTCAAGCTGGCTTTCTCTTGGAAGTCCTTGCAGGCAGCAGAACCTTGTCTCCAGTGAGATGGACACGT